GCTTTCCATCTCCCATTCTGGGCATTCTCTTTTGACATGTCCCACTTTCCCAAATTTAAAACATTTGCCTTTCCCTCTTTCTCTAGTTGCTTTTGGGCTCTGATCACAGGGGCCACTGGGTACTCAATATTCCCTGAGTTGTCTTTTCCAGGGTGGACAGCATGAGTTTATCCCCCTTTTTCTGCTTTCTCTCTCCTCACATACACCTTCTCAGCCTCTCAATTCTTCCAAATACCGATTTCCCCAGTTTTCCTACATTCTATCTCTGCATCCAGCCACTGGAGGCAAAATGACATTTGAACATTCTTTGCTCTTCACTGTCTTCTAAATCCATTTAGCATATTTCCTCATTTACATTTTGAGGTTCTGCAGCCCATTCCTTTTTCATGCTGCACATGAGTCTTGGAAACAGACTCTTTGATTCCCTTATTGTTTTAGATTATTCATGTTGCTTCTGGGAGCTGGAGTTTTTAACCCGTTGAGGGTCTAGATTGGCAATTTAACATCAGCTACTAACATCCCTGGGTCAGCAGGGTGTTCACATTCCCAGGTAGTCATTTCTGCCCTGTGGATCATAGGATCATGGCTGCCTCTGCCCTGAAAAGAGGCTCCCAAGGATGGACATCAAGAGACTGTGGAAATAGCATGTAAGAGTTCACATAAACAAAAGGAAAACATACCAAAGTTAAGAGCTGAACAGAAGATTTCAAAGGGTGACTCGAGAAGACAAAGCAAGTACTGTAATGGAGTGTGAAGAGAACTGGAATTGGAGAAGAAAAAAGGAAGAACTTGTTCTGCACCTTTCAAGCTGGGAGAACCAAAAAACAAATTTAATAGTAAGCTTCGACACAATCCTGAAAGATACTACGGACAATATACTGACTCAGAAAGCATGAAAGACGATGGATGGAACACACAGAATCACTGTACCATAAAGAACTGCCTCTGAGAAATTTCAGGAAGTTTCATGAGAAGGAGCCAATGGTAATGAAGGAGGGAGTGAAAGCTGCTTGGGGGTAAAAAAAAGCCCAGAAAATGGTGGGATACTTACTAATTGACCTATTGTAATTAACAGATGCAGCCCAGGATGCACTAACCCGTCTATGTCAGGAAATTCAGAAGACAGCTATCTATTTGGCCAGTGGACTGGAAAGAGTTCATGTTTGTTCCCATTCCCAAGAAAGGTGATCCAAATGAATGTGGAAACTATCAAACAATATCATTACTATCACATGCAAGCAAAACACTTCGGAAGATGATTAAAAAACCAGCGAGAACAGTACATACATAGATAGGGAACTGCTAGAATTTCAAGCAGGATTTAGATGAGGTCATGGAACCAGGGAATATGACTGCTAATATATAGATCCTGGCTAAAAAATGTCTATTTGTGTTTTATTGACTATGCAAAGGCATTTGACTGTGTGGATCATAACAAGTTGTGGCTGACGTTGAGAAGGAAGTCCCAGAGCACTTAATTGTGCTCAAGTGGAACCTATTCCCAGACCAGGAAGGTGTTGTGCGAATGGAACACAGGACCATTGGAGGATTTAAAATTAGAGTGTGCTAGCCTTGTATTCTCTCCTTAACTATTTAATCTGTATGCTGAGCAAATTCGAGGAGCTGGACTCTATGAAGAGAAGTTTGCCATCAGGACTGGAGGACTCATCAATAACCTGTGTTATGCAGATGACACAATCTTGCTTGCTGTGAGGAAGACTTGAAGCACTTGTTGCAGAAGATCAATAAATGCAGCCTTCAGTAATGCATCTCATTGACCAGACAAAGATTCTTACTTCTGGGTTGATCAGCAACATCATGATGGATGGAGACTGAAATTGTCAACAGCTTCATCTTGCTTGGATACAGAATTAACAACACGCTTGGTACCAGCAGTCAGGAAATAAGGGACACAATGAACTGGGAAAATGTGCAGTTAGAGACCTCTCCAAATTACTGTTGTAATTGTATGTTGGAGGACTAAGGTGTATTTGGTTCAGTCAGTCTGATTACTTGCTATGCTTCTGAGAACTGGACAATGACTAAGGATGACAGAAAAAGAATTGATGCCTTTCTCTGAAGAGCACTGAACATCCTGTGGACTGCCAAAAGAACAACAAAAAAAGTCTTGGAACAGCTAAAGCCGGATTGCTTTTGGGAGGCTATAATATTGAGACTTGTCATTTCACATACTTTGGGCATATTCTGGAATCCTGTCATGACAATAATACCTAATCATATATATCTTATAAACAGTTTTCTCTCTCATCTGTTTCAATGTAGTATACATAATTTATCCCATCTTTCTCAGTCTCCCACCAACCCTAATGTCAGTCCCGTTTTACAGCAGTGGCACTATGCAGTACTTATCCTTTTGTGACTGAGCTATTTCACTCAGAGTAATGTTCTCCAGGGCCATCCATTTTGAGTAATATTTCATGAGTTCCTTGGTTTTTAATGTAGCATAGGATTCCATTGTGTGAATATACAACAGCTTCTCTATCCATTCATTTGTTAAGGGGCACTTGGGTTGTTTCCAACACTTTGCTACTGTGAACAAAGCTGCGATAAACATGGGTGTGCATGTATCTGCTTGGGTGGCAGTTATGGTTTCTTTGGGGTATACTCCTAGTGGAATTGCTGGGTCAAATGGTATTCTATTCTATTTGCAACTTTTTGAGAAAGTGCCACACTGCCTTTCCATAGTGGCTGCACCATTGTACACTCCCACCAACAGTGAATAAGGGCTCCAGTTTCTCCACAACCTCGCCAGCATTTGTTGTTTGCTGTTCTGTTAAATTTCCTATTCTTACTGGGGTGAAAGGGTATCTCATAGTTGTTTTGAGGGGTAGAGTTGCAATATCCTTTTTACATTGTTCAATTTCTTTTCTAAGCCTTGGCCAGGAGGGTTAATTAATAGGAATAAAGGAACCAGAGTACCAATATGTTTGAAGACTAAGGTGTGCCTGACTCAGGCTATAGTCTTTCAGATGGCTTGTTGTGCATCTGGGAACTGGACAATGACTAAGCAGACAGAATTGACGCCTTTGAGTTGTAGTGTTGAAGAGCACTGAACATGCCATGGGTGGCCAAAGAACAAATATGTCTGGGGGCAGGGGACAGTTCATGGGCAGCCAGAGTGCTCCTTTGAGAAAATAAGGCTTCACTGCACATCCTTTGGACATGTTGCTAGAAGGAAAGAAAGACCCTCAACCAGATGGACTGACACTATGTCAGTAACTGCTGCAAAGGGTTCTTGTGTGTCAGGAAATATAAGAATGGCACAGGACAGAACATAGTTCCTTTCCTGTTTATATAGTCTCCCTAAGTCATACTCACCTCACTGCCCACCTAACAAGAAGAAGGGAACAAGAATCCCAACTAAGTTTGTGTAGAATCAAGGGAGGTGGGTTCAGTAGTCAGAACTTGGGCACTGGTTGCTGGAGGGCAGAATTTTAAAGGGAGGGAGTAGAGAGGAGGAGGTCCAATGCGGGGGGGGGGGGTGTCCTTGAATTGGTTCTACTTTTCCTTAGTTTTAAGAGGAAATAGTGAAGCTGGGTCCTGTTTCCAACAAAGGGTATGGTCTATTCCTAATTGAAAGATGGCACTATCATAACTTACATACTCAATTAGGAGTTATGAAACCCAATTTTTGAGTCATTTAGTCCAAAAGGTAATTGGTTCGAGAATGGTCCCTTGTGTCCAAATGAAGTACAAAGAGTAAATCATTTGTTGCCTCTCCTTATCTTTAGTCAACTGATTCTCTTCCCAATGGTTAAAGTTATCCTTACACTTGCTTTAGAATTCCTCGTACTTGAATTTTTGTTTCTCATCTGGTTTATGTTTCCTTTTTAAGAGGCTCAACACTCCTTTACCTGTAGGTTTCATGCACTCCTCTGCTTTTACTTCATTTGTCTCTGCCCCCTACTCTGGCTGAGAACACTGAGCACCTCTTAGCAGTTGGTATGTCAGCATAAACCCCAAGCTGAGACAAAGCTGACTCAACAGCGCCCTAAGGTCGCCACAGGCATCCACATTCAAGGGTACACATCATACATTACACACACACACACACACACACACACACACACGATGTTCCAGCCCAACAATGGAATAATCTCTGTCCCCATGGTTTTTTCTCACCTTGGTCACAAGTACAAAGGGAAAACTTGAGAGAAGGCTAAACCATATTCCCAAAGGAGGAGCCTCTCATTCTTAGAAACGCAGCTTAAAATAGAAATGAAAGAAACCAAGAAAAAAATCTCAGCAAGGCAAATGTTTACTTCTGCAGAAGGATGTTCATAGGGCACTTATCATGGCAGACAAGCATACCAGACAGGTGGTCAGCTTGGAATTTATCTGTGACTCTAAAGCTAAGGCTGTGTCTCACGCCACTTGTCCAGGGTTTCGACCTCACAGTCTAGCTGATTGGCTAATTTGTTTTGTGCTTGAAAGCAGAGAGAGAGGGTGTGAAAGGAGGCGGCTAGGGTTTGAGGTAGTTTGGGATGTCTCTGTCTTGGGGGATGTTAGCATATTAAAAACTGGTTTTGGCTGGTTCACAAGAAGAGTACAAGGACAATGAAGATTTTCTTAGCAATCTTTAGTAAGAATTAATTCTATGACTTCAGCTTTAACTCCCTTTTGTGACTTTTTGAAGAGAAGACACATATGTATTTTTCTTTCTCATATGAGGCGTGAGGAACAACTAAAGGCCTTCCCACATACCTTAGGCCTCTCTCCACCACAAGTCTGAATATAATCAGGAGTGAAGAGGCATGAATAATGGCTTTCCCACATTTCAGGAGGATTTTCTCCACTGCAAATTTATGTGTGGAAAAGAAACCCAAACAACCTCAAACACACACACAAAAAAACAAACAAAAACTAAACGAATGTGTGGCGAAGGTGGAGGAATGAATAAAGTTATTCCCACAGACCCTATTCATAAGGTCTCTTTCCTCTATGAGAATTGAAATGTCTGGTGAGATTGGAAAACAGACTAAAGGCTTTCCCACATTCTTGACATTCGTAAGGCCTCTCTCCACTGTGAGTCCTCAAATGTGTGGTAAGTGAGGAAGCCTGGCTGAAGGCTTTCCCACACTCCTTACATATATAGGGCTTCTCTCCAGTGTGAACTCGTATATGTGTAACAAGAGATGAGGCGTAACTGAAGGCCTTCCCACACTCCTTACATTCATAAGGCTTCTCACCACTGTGAATTCTCGTATGCTCAGTGAGTGAGGAGGCATGATTAAAGGCTTTTCCACATTCTTTACAAACATAAGGCTTCTCTCCACTGTGTGTTCTTAAATGTTTAGTAAGGTTTGAAGGACACATGAAGGCTTTCCCACATTCCTTACAAAAGCAGTAAGGTCTCTCTCCAGAGTGAGAACTTAGATGTGTAGTGAAGTGTGATGCCTGACTAAAGGCCTTCCCACATTCAATACATTCGTAAGGCTTCTCTCCACTGTGAATTCTTAGATGTGTAGAGAGCGCTGAAGTATCACTAAAGGATTTCTCACATTTATTACATTCATAAGGTCTGTCTCCACTGTGACAATATATATGCCGGCTGAGGTGGGACGGCAGATTGAAGCATTTCCCACACTCCTGACATTTGTAAGGCCGCTCTCCAGTGTGAATCCTTCTATGTGCTGTGAGGGCTGAGAGCTGCCTGAAGGCTTTCCCACATTCCTTACAATCATAGGGCCTCGCTCCAGTGTGAGTTCTGATGTGCGCAGTGAGGGCTGGGAGCTGCCTGAAGGCTTTCCCACACTCCAGACATTCAAAAGGCTTCTCTCCAGTGTGAGTTCTTATGTGTGTCATAAGGGTGGAGGTCCGACTGAATGCTTTCCCACATTCCTTACATGCGTAAGGCCTCTCTACACTCTGAGATCTCACTTGTTTAGTGAGGGATGAAGTCTCACCAAAAGCCTGTTCATAAGACATACTGCTTTCATAGGATTTTTACATAAAATGAGAAATGAAAGAAAACAATGTTGATGAACACTAGTTTCCTAGATGTCCAGAAGGATTAGAAACTATAGCAATGGCAAGAACTGGTAATATTCAGCATCTCTTACTAAGGAGTGTTGTCACAGAATACTTAAGCATCAAGCTAGAAAAGGAGTCATGCACACTTTACATTAATGGTTGCCCCCGCCTTCATTAACCCTCCTACCTCACTAGTGTTCTATATCAGTGATTGGTGAGAGGTACAAGTACAGGTTTCTCCACAATCTTTACACTGTCAGGTACTGATCCCTGTGTGAGAGCTGCTATGGGGTGAGAAAGTTGGATCCACAGAGGTTTTGCCACATTCACAGCAATCAAAAGGATTTCTGCAGAATTTCTCTACTGTTCAGTAAAATTTGGAATCCAGTTGAAGGCTCTCCCACACTGACTGCGTTAATCACTTTTACAGTTGTTGTGTATTGTAGGATTTCTGTTAAAAAAAAGGGGGAAAGATTTTAGAAATTTTTTATACAATTTTTAAACATTTCACCATTACCAAACAATGGGATTTCATGTCTTTTTCTAACTAGGTTCATATTTTATAGAAGAATCATAAAACCCATCATCAATGCCACTATTTTCCTAAGTCATGTGGTTTTCTAACAATTAAGTCCAAGTGAAATAAATTTTCTAGATCTATGACTTCTGTTCATAAAAAGGTTCTACTCTGGAAATTCCCTGAAAGCAAAGTTTTACAGCTGGATTTATATAGAGATATTGTTAGGTGTGGTCTTATCAGTTATAATTAAAGCAATCAATATGTAGAACAGAATGAAGTTGAGCCACTGTCACAATCACCATTATATCTACAAACACTGCAGTCATTATTGCATTCTAGCTCATTTAGGGTCTTCCTTTCACTAACCTACTTTATCAAAGATTATATACATCAACCACGAAACACGTTTTCTGGTAATGTCTAACTATACATCCAAGAAGCTGGGAGGAAGCATGCTTGGAAGAGGACCAGTAGGCAGGTTAGCATAGAGGTTGCCATGTCTGAGCAGCTGGGACATGACGAATATGCTTGTTGGCCTCACTGCTGCCATGTCTGGGATGCAATCCTCTAACCATGGTGCAGCTTGTAGACCATGAACCTCAAGTGCAGCTCTCAGCTCCCATGGAAAAAGCTGGTATGTGCCCTGTCAACCATCCAGGGAATGATATTTGTGTAAAGACGGTGGTCTTTGTCCACTCTGACATGTCTCAGGGTTTCCTTCCAATTCTGATCGTGCTCCCTGAGGGCTGTTCACAGCAAGTACCTGTAGTTGTAAATCTGCAAACGACAAAACTCTGGGAGCCAATGGAGGGGGCGGAGGAGGCTGACAGGGTTTACACTGATATGTGTACACTGGGTCTACACAGATGTGCTCTACATAACATGGTGTTTGCACAATGTCTCAATAACCCTCAAACTATGCATTCATTCCTTCATTAGCACATATAACATACATATATAACATTTGGACCCTTCAAGAGATAACCCTGAGGTTCTCATTTTTCTTAAACGAATGACACTCACCTTCAATGTCTTCTCTGGTTTTTGTGTTGATCTTTATATGTTATCTGGAGATTTCTCTTTACATGGAGTATTAAATGTTAATCTTCAGGAATCGCATCATTATTTAGCCAATGAATAACTTTTCTCCATCATTAATATTTCAAGTAATTAATTTAGTAATTCAAGATGAGGCTCACAACTTGGAAGAAAAAAAGGAAAAGAAATTACTAGAAAATAAAAATCTACTATATACAATACTCGAGACTGACTGCCTAATTCAAGTAGCCAATGCCAGTGCATCTCATTCCATTAATCTCCAGAATGGCAATGTTCATGTACTCCATTCCACACCTAGTTTTCCAAGGCTCATACTTTGCACAGTCCATGTTCCAACTACTAAAGGACATTGAAGCTGTTTTCCTCATTTGGAATGACTTTTTTTTTCAGTGTACAGCCTTTGTCAGTGCTCACAGCCCATGGGAAAGGAGGCTGGGCCATGGTTTGAGGCTGCAGTTTATGCTGGCATGGGAACATGGAATGACTTTCAATCTGGGCTCTACCTTGAATAGAGTAACTATCTCTGTATCTCCATAGGATGAATGAAAACCAGAGTGTTGCATTCACAGATATCTACCATGTTGTGAGTGACAGGAAATCACTCATATGCATACAAAGAAGACCTATTTATCCAACTATTATTCAAATATATTCACCAACAGCTAAAGCCAAAGAGAATGGAAGATTTTTTTAATTCAAATTTTTCAGTGTAAAATTGACCAAAAAGCAGTCAAGCAGTGTTAATGATAAGTGATGACTAAAATGTAAATTTAGAAACAACAAAGAAGGAATGATTGTTGAAGAGCATAGAATTGGGGATAGAAATGAGGTCGGAAATAGAATAATTTTTTAAGTTCAATAGTTTATCTGACGCAAATACCTTTTTTTGTAAAACAAACAAACAAAACACCCAAATGGTGACTTTACACAGACAGACTACATGTGTGGAAAGAATTGTTGGAGAAGCTCAATATTAGCAGACAACACAAATCAGGTGCTGAATGTGGAACAGATCTTCAATTATTCATGCATATGTTCAAAGTTTTCAATAACAAAGGCTTGACCACTGGTTTCTAATTGGTTTAAACATGAAGTTTCCAGCCTACAAATGATGGTAAAATAAAAATGAAAACACTTCACACCTGATTATTAATAATAAAAATAACCTATCTTCCCTAATGCAACTGCTTCAAAAAAGACACCCTTAGGAAGGCCCTAATTAACTTTTAACTGCCACAATGGGCTCTAATGTCTCAGTTAAGTGTGAGGACAGAACAAGGTAAGACAGGGGTTGGATCTGTTTATTATTTATAAGGTCTAACAGGTCATATTTGACCTGATGGCACCTAACAACAACAAGAAGTTTAAATTTAGGTGGAAGAAAATGAAAACAAGTTCATGACAACCAAAAAATATGATCCCGAGTCTAACCTACCCAAGTGTAAAAATCATCTTAAAAAACAACTATGAAATATCATCTCACCCCAGTATTAGCAAAATTTAACAGAACAGCAAGCAACAAATGCTGGCGAGGTTGTGGAGAAACTGGAACCCTTATTCACCATTGGTGGAAGTGTAAAATGGTGCAACCACTGAGGAAGGCGATATGGGGCTTTCTCAAAAAGTTACAAATAGAGATACCACTTGACCCAGCAATTCTACTCCTGGGAATATGCCACAAAAAGACCATAACTGACATTCAAGCAGATATATGTACACCCATGTTTATTGTGGCTTTGTTTACAACAGCAAGGAGTTGAAAAGAACCTAAGTACCCATCAACAAACAAATGGATAGAGAAGCTGTGTTAAATTCACACAATGGAATACTATGCTGCATTGAAAAACAAGGAACCCATGCAATATTATTCAAAATGGGTGACCCTGGAGGACATTATGCTGAGTGAAATATCTCAGTCACAAAGGGACAAATATTGCATGGTGCCACTGTTGTAAAACAGAACTGACATCGGGGTTGGGGGAAGACCGAGAAAGATGGGATAAATAATGTATATTGCATTGAAACAGATGAGGGAGAAAACTGTTTAGAAGGGATATGTGATTAGGTATTTTTGTCATGATGGGAGTCCAGAGCAAAGGCTGCAAAGTGCAGTGGACCTGGGGGGGGGGGGTTTGTAAAACAATATAAGAATTTTTCTTTTACTTTTCCAAGAGGGGAGTGTACTGGGGGGACAGTTGGGAAGGGAGAAAAGTACAACAGTGAATGAAGGGGGAGGAGGTTGAAGCACTGATCACTGCTCAATGTACATTCCATGTTTCAACAATAAAGGACACTTGCAGCTTTTTCTCCTGACTTCCAATCTGGGCTCTATCTCTAACACTATACCTAACCATTACGGTATTATAAGTATAGTAAGATGATGAAACTTCATTTTGTATACTTTGATTATGTTCCTAGGAGAGTCTATTCCTTAGAGATGGACATGAAAGAGAAAATGACAAACAGGTGGACTGACACAGTGACAGCAGCAATAGGTTCAAGTGTGTCAGAGATTGTGAAGGGGCACAGGATAGGACAGGATTTGGGTGTGCTGTTTATAGGGTCACTATGAGGAAGCAGGAGGGGCATCCACTTCCTAAACAACATGCCTATGAAAAATCTACAAACTGATAAACTTTGATAGTTATAGAAAGGCTCAGGGTCACTATGAGTAATGCTTGACTCGATGGCAATCAACAATAAGAGTCCTACTAGACAGCACCTGACAAGAAGAACTGAACACCAATCCAGATGAATTGTGGGATGACATCAAGGGTATCATCCATGAAGAGAGCACAAAGTTATTATAAAGACAGAGGAGGAAGAAAGAACCAAAATAGAAGACAGAAAAGAAGGACTAGAAAATCAAGATTCCAAAACAAAGGGAAGAGATATTGAAGTACATAAATTTCAAAGGGCAATCTATGCAAGCTTCAAGTGGATCTGATAACGTGACATTTGTATGCCCAATATGTTATCAGAAGCACAACAATCATCTGTCAGTTTGTTGTATTGGGGGACTTCATTGTTCTAATCAGTACGGCAGTTTGCTATACTGAGACAACTTGTGAGTTGCTGTGATTCGGAAAGATTTGCTCTTGGTGTGCCAAATGCCTCAAGGGTCACTCATGGTGGACAGTTTTTAACAGTGTTCCCAGATTAACAGGAAGCAGGACTGGCCATCCACTTCTTAAATAGCAGACCTCTGAACAGATGAACATGACAGCTATAGTATTAGAAGTAGAGCCCGGACTGGAAGTCAATCAAAATAGTAGCAAGCATCCTCTAATAATGAGAACATGGAATAAATAAGCATGAATGTTTGCAAACTAAATAGAACACATGAACATTCTAGGCAATGATAGATAACATGAGA